TTTTCGAGCTTTGCGGAAGTCTAGTGTAGAGTTGGTAGTTTAACAGTGGAAGACCGGCGGGATATGAAGAGTTATCTAGTATACCTATTTAATAGGGAGATAATTGCCGAGGGGAATTTCGAAGGGGGGAATACAGAATGTTCATCTCCTAAAATATACCCATGGTAGATGTTAATATGAATTCCCGTAGTCTCTCCATTTATATGAACTCGCTGGATTGTGTTTGTGTTCACCATAGAACGAGATAAGCACTAAGCTCCCAGTGCGTCAGGTTACCTATATCCTGGTCTACATGATCTTTGATTGCGCATTTGAAATGAAGGCCTATCATTGAGGTAGGTGACCACGAGCAAGGTGTACAAAAGCGGCAAAAATGAATTACAAGTTGCGCATAGTCCTATGACTTCCCAGGCTCAATGAAAATTTAACTACTGCATAATATGACTCGCTGTGTCCTAGCTCCCTTGCTCGAACCAATGGTCTTTTTATCGAATAGGTCATGGCGTTGGGAATCTACCTTGGTGGATTGTTTCAAATATAATGCTAGGGTCTGATCTATGAGGATACCGTTCCGCCTGATCCACAGTTGGAACTAGCTCGAGGGCCCAGTTTGCAGGACTCCAAGCACTGCAGCCCAGAGTAAAGTATTAATTGCCTGTTAATATATTTATTCCCAGCCAGATTGGCTGAGTGGTAGCCTTCGTGGTCTAGTTTGGTCATGACGTCGGTCTCATATCCTTTCATATGACATTCTTGGAAACAAGATTGACATCCGAAGGTCTCCAGTTCGATCCTGGACGAGGGCAAATTCTTTTTTGCCTCTCACCCATAGAGAAGTGGGTTATGTTCGACCAATTGCTAGGTTGGGCACAGTTTTCCAATACTCCGTACGTTGTAAACAACATTTCGCATGGGTAAAAAGATGCGTCTGGTTGTTCTTGGTTTAGAACTGCAAGGTCTAACTGGATCGAAAATGTCTTGAAGTAGTGCCTATTGATCTGGAATACTGTTTAAAATCTGACTAGTACGATACAGATGATTTATACTTACATCTGCCGCAATTCAACTGGCTGTACACAAAAACGAGGGAATCAGCCTCTAATCAATCTTGCCACTACGGAGTAGTAGTACTTTTAATTTTTATGATGGAGACTCTAGACCTAAAGAAAGTAGGGACTGAAATGCAATGATTCCTGAAAATACTATCATTCAATCTCCATGTCTATCTTTTTTTACGTCAACTTTATGCAAAGCACGATGTACAATTTGCAAAGCTCAGCGGAGACTTCAGACAAGAGTGGGCCTTTTATGTCTCACCCTTCAACTGGAAAATTGGATATAGAAGAAAATTCCTCGGTCTAAGTCATTACAGGCCTGAATGGCTCAGTGGTTGCCTTCGTGGTCTAGTTTGGTCATGACGTCGGTCTCATATCCTTTCATATGACATTCTTGGAAACAAGATTGACATCCGAAGGTCTCCAGTTCGATCCTGGACGAGGGCACAAGCTTTTCGAGGCTGCTATTTTTGAAAGTATTCATCTTTACTGGTTATCATGGAAATCGGATTTAACATGTCTCATTTTTTTGAATGTTCTATTGAAAGTAAATGTTTTCAATTGGCACCGGTGTATCAAAGCAATCGAGACAAAACAATTGCTATGTACAAGCAAAATGGTATATTACACTGTCCAGCAGTTGAAGAGACCTAAACACCGCAATGAAAGCGCTCAACCTAGGCGAAGACGACCAGGCACAGCCCGACCTCCAATTAGCGCCGATCCTTCTTCAGTGGTACTATCATTACCCGACATCCAGCGCGGAAGTCGGAATGGCTCACCCTGGAACCATCGAGGATTGTTCATAGTATCAAATGTGTTTTTGACGCGATGCGCAAAAGACTGGAAGAAATTCTCATCTTCCTCATCCTCGCCTTCTATAATAGCAGGTGTAGCCACTGTCCTCTGGACAGGCTGAGAGCCCTCTGCAACTGGAACCCGCAGCCGGGACGACCCTGGGGAACCTTCATCCTCACGATCCGATGCCCAAGTTGAGCGGCTACCACGAGAGGACACAGCCAGAGAACCGAGGCCATTTAGTTCCCGTTCAATGAGATCGCGACCTTCGCGCCAGCCACCCATGCCATACCCGGCAGGGTTGTTTTCGACATCATGGATATCATCCTCCTCTGCAAGGCCGCACCCAAAGATGTTTTTGACACGCCCGTACAGGTTAAACAGTGTTGCGCAGATAGGCAGGAGAATGAAGATCGGAAAAATGAAATCAAAGCCTTTCCCGAGAGGCGTCAGGTTGATGAGTTTACCAAGGAATCCGTAGAAAGTGGTAGTTCGTCGAAACTCTTTTGGCAAGAAGGTTAAGAAGTTGTACGCAATTGGTACGGTCAGCCGAGCCACGAGACTAGCGTACCAGCAGGCACTCTCGCCATATGTGTTACGACGGACAAGCGCGCGGTTTCCCCATACCTTAACATCACTAACGCCAACGAGAGCTGCTGAACACATGTACAATAGCCAGGCAGAGGCTGTGAGCTGACCACCAAAGCCAACTGGATTGTTGTCCCAGTTGTGGACCACGGTCAAACTCACGGCGGAGAGATGGGGCGCCAAAGACTTGATCATTTCCGACCAAACAATGCAGGCCGATGCCACTGCGAAGAATGTGCCAAATGCCAGCCTAACCGAGGGAATAACGTTGGAATACAGCTGGTACCGCATGTACGGGGTGAGAAATGTCACTTGAGGGATCCAGGATGACCGACGGGGGGCCGGTGCAAATTCGAGCTTCTTTGAAGCTGTGGAATTTATGATGGCTTGAAGATCAGCTGATAACTGGACCAGACGATCCCACTCATCCACAAATCGGGCCTTCATGTGTCGAGCACGTCGAAGCCGCCGTGTAAGATCAGCCAGGTAGCGTTCCGTGATGACAGAAGGTATCATGGCAGATGTATCCGGTAACTCGAGGATTGGGGCCCGCACGTCGGATTGGCCGTGCCCGTCCCGAAGCTCTTCAATCCATTCCCGAAAGTCACGAGCAGTCCCTGTCTTACGGCGCTGTAGCTGAGCAACCTGACCATTGAGATTCGCCAACTCGTTGACTGAGTCCATCAGGCGATCGTGCACTTTGGGCGCATGTGCCTGGAGTCTGCGTAGGCGACCGCTGACATTGGAGTTTCGGAGCAGATTGCGCGGGATCGAAACAAGGCCGTGCCCCATGAGATAAATGGCAAGGACAAGACCCCACACATATGCCAGTGCCATGACGAGTCCTTTGATGGAAGTGAATTCGAACCCGTTTGAGATCGAAACGTAGATCAAGCCCACCATAGCACATCCCAGGACAATTAGTTGATATCTGGCATTCGATCGAAGAGAGTACATAAGCCGGCCTTTTGGCTCACGGTAGCCCGAGTCGACGTATTCACCGAGTAATGGAAGGATAGCCCTATAAGAGAGACAAGGATGAGTGATCTAGCCTTTGGTCAAGTCGAGGAACGTGTGACGCTTACCAGGTGAGAACGAATATTAGCCAGTAGGCAATGCGCCAGCATACCAGAACCATTCGTTCTGGTAGCCAGATTGCTTTAGGCCCAGATCCATCTCGCGAACTTGACGCCAAATCGATAGGGACGAGGAGCACAACGCTGGCGGGTAGAGCCAGAGCCAGGAATATAGGGACACTTAGATAAGCGGGGGTGGCGCGGAGGGTCAGAAATCGTCGCAGGAGAAGTAGCACAAATGCGGATATGAGGAATAGGGCGAGTGCGAAAAAGACGTTTGAGCCCACTGAGATGGGCGACACAGATACGGGGAACATGCTGAAGAAACAGCGCAAGGCAAAATGGAAAAAAAAAAAACGAAGGTTTCAGTCGTTGTTCATGGTGAGATATCCAGGGCGCAAATGAGAGAGGTCAGATGTTGAATGTGGAAAGGTTGAAGTGTATATCGAGAACAGGCCATGGGGGTTGACGTTTTGGGGCCTGGCTGACTCAAGTTCTGACTAACTGGGTCAACTGGAGTACGAGCATGTTGTACTAAGGACTTTGGTTTCGTCATGTGCTCCAGTGTATAGTGGAGTATCTAGTACCCAGCCACAGTCTCCTGTGTTTCTGGATTTTTGACCAATTGGTACCTCCGGATCAGGCCAGGGCCAGAACGCCTTGCCGATCTTTGATGAGCATTGATTTCTGTAGGTTGTATTTGTTTCGTTTTGCTTTTTAGGCAAAACAGTTGCAAACATTTGGGAGCAAGTCAAACTGGATTTCTTTCAAAATTTGGAGATTGGACATTACGATCTGTGTATTTTGACCTGTAGCTATACTCTTGCATACCCCGTAAATTGGTCTATTACAATAGGGTACATGGACATTGGGCATAATCTAAGATCCACCTCATGACGACGTGTTTTGAGCTTTCAGGTACTTAAATAACGGAGGATCGTCGGGATTTACAGTATTGTATTTTTTTTTAGTACGGAGTACTCTATACATGTAAGAAACAAGATAAATACCAAGGGATACTTAGCCAAGTCGTGCAAACCCAGGCAGAACTGCAAGTACCTCAAAGCTAGGCTTGTGATCTCCCAAATAGTACCAGAGTAACATCACAATACATATAGATACCAGTCTATTGATACGCGGCCCATTCATTCTCAGATGCCAATATTCTTCAATCTTGATCCAAACCCTCAATGGGAGGATGGGTTGATTAAATATAGCCCTTCCTCTGATTTCATTTTGTCGCTTCTCATTCATTTAATAATACTTTAAACCAGACATAATAACAATCTTAACTGGCCACTTCTTTCTTTGCTTTCCTCTAGCTCAACGAGATCTGTGCATCTCTTTGTCTCAGTGTCATTCTGATTTTCGGTAAGTACTCCGTACTTTGTGTTCTTTCTCTTCCCCCTCCCCCAAATCTTCTTGCCATTGTGCAGAAAGGGCAGCAACTGAGGCCCGGTGCAACTTGAGAGCTGCATGATCCTTGTCACGGATCCAATTCAACCTACACCTGCTTTCATTCGCTCCAATCCATTCACAGGTGCTGACCAGCGAATTGAATCCATCTGACGCTGGTGCCCGAACGGCTGGCCCTACTCGTTGTGTTGGTCGGTCTTGGTTCCCTCCAGTCCCTCCTGTCCTCCGTTTCGTCCATTTTCAACCCATCCCCACCCTCCCTGATCGACTCGAATCACGGTTCCACACCAGCACCTGATTACCTTTTTTTTTCCCCTCCCGCTGATCGGCGACCCGTGTTAAACTACTTCCTTGCGTCTTCATCACTAAGCTTGCGACATCTTCACTGTTGCACATGGTACTCCAGCGAATGCTAACCTTCAAGAAACCTCTTCGCGGATTACCCATTGATCCCCCGTTGATGGGGTGTCCGCTATGAATCCCGGAGAGTTCCCTAACCAGGGCGCGGGGCCTGGCCGGCCAGCCCCGAATACCGCGATGAGGATGAACGCAAACATGCAGGTCCCGAAGAATGACAGTGTGCAAGCTATGATGACCTATGTTGCGCAAATGTTGCAAAACCAGGGACCATTTGGAGGTTGGAAGGCAGAAGTCCTCATCAAGACTCGGGCGACAAATGTTTATCAAATGCAAGTTGCATTTTCTACCTGCAAAAAACTGTCTTTGCGCAATTGTCTGTTCTGGTCTAACCTTTGGATGAATTAGGATCACCTCTCTCCGTTTGATCCAACCACGCATCGATCTCCACCAAGCGGCCCAGGCGGCCATGAGTTTCGAATTAAAAGCCTTCACCAAAGCCAACGAGAAGATCGAATACGAGAAGGAATGCACCGAAAAGCTTCTTCATATCAGAAATACCCGAGAGAGACAGGCCGCGGTCGCTTACCAAAGTGGAATGATGCCCCAGACGGGTGCGGGACAAAATCAGATTCCAGGCACTTTTCCGCAGCACATCAATCAGAGCATGCAGGGGTCCCCGGTTCCCGGCCAACAGCAGATGGCAATGGGAATGAATGGACAGAACCAACAGGCAGCAATGCAGCGACAGCAACAGCAGTCGCAGGCGATGCTCCAACAGCAACAGCAACAACAGCATCAACAGCATCAACAGCAGCAGCAGCAGCAGCAGCGGTCTCAACAGCGCCCTGGCAATGGGATTCCGATGGTTGACGACCTCAGCACGCTTTCAGCCCAAGACCTCGACCACGTCTCTCGACTGGCAAACGAGATGTTGAATAAAACCAATCCAGAAGATATGGAGAAGATCAAGTTGAATTTGTCTAACATGACACCCGAACAACGCCAATATCTGGCACGGAAAAACCTTGAGCCAATGACCTATTTTTTCCGCTCTCAGGCCCTTAACCAAATCAGGCGCCATCGCCGCGCTCGTCTGGAGATGGGAGGACGTGCGCCAAATGCTGGAGTGGATGCGCTTGGTAACATGATGGGTGATCCCATGATGAATGCTCAGCACCAACGACAGATGCTTCAAAGCATGTTAAACCTTCAACGAAATTCTGCATTTCCCGGAAATCCCGGTCAGGCCATGGAACCTCAAAACTTCATTGGCAACGTGGAAAACATCCAAGGACAGCAAGCAGATGGCCTGCGCTCACAGGAGGCTGGCCAACTAGTTGTTCCTGCCAGCTCTTCCCAAATGAATCAGGCCCCATTTCCGAATAACAACAACATGTTCCCACAGCAGATGGGCCAGAATGGCCAGGCAACCATGAACGCCAATAATGCAAACGCTCAGGCTCAATTCCTTGCCCAGCAGCATATGCAGGGTGGGTCTAATACTCCCCAGGATCGAATGCAGTTCCAGGCACAACAGTCTCAGGCTCAATCCCAGGCTCAGGCGCGTGCACAAGCGGCCCAGAAGGCCCAGATGGCGATGTCGGGTCATGGTGGTCAAACAAACCCCCAATCACAGCCACAACTGAACGGGCAGAGCCCCGTCATGCCAATGCTGAATCAACCCATGGCTCCGGGTCAGATGTCTCCGGTCCAGGTGCCTGCTCAAGCCAGACCACCGTCCCGACCTGCGAACATGGGCCAGCATCCGGCTGGCGTTGCAGGACAAGCTGCGATGCAAGGTCCACTCCAAATTCCTTCCAACATCCCGCCTCATTTCCAGGAACAACTCGCTCGCATGCCCCCGGAGCAGGCTCGGAGTTTCATCATACAGCAACGTCGTGCCGCTCTCAATAGCCTTGCTCGAGCAAACCCCGGCCAGCAGCCGCAACCTCAACCAGGTCAAGCCCAATCCATGATGAATAACCAGATGGTCAACGCCATGATGAGAGGCTCCATGAGTGCCCCACAGGATTTGAACTCGGGAGGAATACCTCAAGGCCAGCAAATGACCCAGCAGCAACGTCAACAACGCTCGAATGAGGGTTATAAGCTCCATATGCTGCGGCAGCAAAACAATGTCGTGGAAATGACTCCTGAGCAGGTCAAGCAAATGGACCGCATGTCTTTCCCACCGTCTATTCTGAACATGAATGGCACCTCAATGCAAGTTCCCAACAACATCAAATTGTGGGGTCAACTCAAGCAATGGGCAAGTTCGAACCCTCAAGTTGCAAGCCCAAATGATCTCCCGCGCCTCATGATGCTTCAAAAGCTTCATCTTGGTCAACTGATATCAGCTTCTACAAGTCAAGTCAACCAAAATGGCCAGGGCTCAGCATCAACTCCATTCCAAAGCACTCAGGCTCCGTTTACGAACATGCCAGGCATCCCTCCTGGCCAACAACAAAGTGCTATCAACATGGCATCCATGCGGCCAATCTCTGCCCAAGATATCCAAATGGCTCGTCAAAAGCTTGGACACCAGGCGTCAAACTTCACCGACGAGCAGATTCGAGATATTCTGTACCGAAACCGCCAAAAGCAGATGATGCAGGTTGCACAGAACCGAGCAATGCAACTTGAAGGAAACACACAGCCTGTCCAGCTCAGCCAACCGGCGGCACAACCTCTGGTCCCGGCAGCACCGCCTGTCCCGCAAATCAAGCAACAACATCCCCAAGCCCCGCAATCGACCCCCCAAGCGGCGAGCGCAAAGCCCCAAAGTGGGGCTGCGGCCAAAGGCGCTAAGATTACTACCGGGAAGCAGGCCTCAAAGAAGAGACCCGGCACAGATGATTTAACAGAGGCTCGACCCACAGCTACACCCCAGATGAGCCAGCCTGTGGCAGCTCCAGGCGCCCCAGGGTCGGCCCCTCAACGGCCAGGTATCCCGCTCACGCAGGAACAGCTTGCGCAAATGACTCCTCAACAGCGAGCCCAAGTGGAGGCACACATGCGGAGACAACAGTCTCAAAATCGGGGTCAGGTGCTCAGCAGAGCTGCCGCCGACGAGGCATGGAACAGGAACCTACCACCGCAGGTAATGGAGGTGTATAATGACATTGCTAAGAATGCTCCACCCGCAAAGCCCATGCCTGTCTCGCCAGAGCAGAAGGCCGCTATGGCCAAACAACTGCGCGAAGCCTTGGATGTTCTCGGTCGCTTAGACGCCCTTGTACAGTGGTTTGCAAAGATGCAAGGCCAGGAGAAGAATGTGAAGAATCTTCTCGCCATGGTAAGCTCCCCTTTGATACAACAAGCGTTCATATACTAATCTGATCTCACTTAGCGTATCCAATTGATGAGGCAGTTCAAGCCCTCGCAGGATTGGGTAGTAAATGAACATTTCACAGTTACTCCCGATTATCTCACTGGTGCTATCCTTTTCATGCGGAAGTTGTTCGCAGTGATGATTTCTCGCATGCAGCAAGGCCAGCGCCCTAACGCCCCCCAACCTCCTAGCTCCAACACCCAGGCAATGCAAGGCAATATGCCAGCATTGAACGCGACCAACTTGCAGCAGTTGCAGGCACAGGAAGAGGCCCTACAACGAGCCCGTCGCGCCTCTAGCCAGTCTGTTGCAAATGCCTCAGCTGCACCTTTCGCGGCTCCATCTCCCAGGGGCGTTCCTCAGTATGCCCCAGGTGGACTTGCCCCCGAGAATCTTAAACTCCCTCCTCCCAAAAAGCGAAAGCAGTCTCATGGCGTGGCATCCTCCCCAATTCAAGCAACTGTAGCTCCTGGCGCAGCGGCAAAATACAACAAGGCGGTGGCGGATGCCACATCCAATGCGGCAGCTATGGCAGGTGCTTTCAAATGCAGCGTGGTTGAGTGCCAACACCACTACCAAGGATTCCCTACGCAGGCCGTCTTGGACAAGCATGTTGAAGAAAGCCATCAACCCGAGCAGGAAGAGATAATCGAGGATCATCTCAAATATTACCATCAAAGTATCTCGATGGGTCTTGGACTGGACCCCAATGATAAAATGGAAACCCAGCAGATGGCCACACTCGGACCAGTGCCTTCCTCCTCCAAGCTCAGTGCAGCAGCGTCTCCCACGAAACAAAGTAATGCTACCCCTCTCATTGCCAACAACACCCCCATGGCCAGGGTCACTAGCCAATTCGGAGCCAAGACTGCGTCCCCTGCTGCAGCATCAACTCAGCTGCTCACTCCGCAATTATCTTCTGTCAAAGGAATGAAGCCCGCTGACAAGGACGGAAAGAAGGATGTTATCAAACTGGAGGATAGCGACATAAAGGATCCCTGGGCAGAGTGTCCCCTCTCGCTTGACACAATCCATGATACATTTTCAAATCTCACGAGCAAGGACCTGCCTCACCTGGGCTATGATTCGCTCGAGGACTTCGATATCAACGAAGCTACTCCGGTGGATGACGACTGGGCTGCCTTTGCTAGTCTGACTCCTCCAGATGAGGCCGAGGAGGCTGCTTTCTTGGAGAAGTTTTATGAACCTTGGGACGAAGACTCAATTGCAAGGACTGCGGAGTGGTTGCGCATTCCGCCTGAGATCCAGGTCAAGTGCATCGGACCCATGGGCCAGCTTGAGGTTGACTGGGATGCTGTTGCGCGTTACAAGAGAGAAGGCATTCGCATTCCCATGCCAAAGTGAAACTCCTGGTTTGTATTGAGAGCATGTACACATCGCTAGTCCTACATGGAAAATGGACTGAGTTTATGAAAAATTTCAATTCGGCGGTTTGTTTCCAGCGTATATATGGCTCAGGAGTGATGCGTTTTAATTTGTTATGATCCTTGGAAATCCACCTTCTGGTTTCTAATTATTTTTGGACTTTTGTGTTGTCCCTTGGCCTCAGCGATGGCGTTTGGAGGGGGGAAAAACCGGGCCTAGGCTCTTCACCGGGCTATTTATCTCGAAGTTTTGGAAACGCTGAATCTTATACATACTCATGTAGCTCTACGTACCATACTTCCTCTACCGGGGCATTCCTATCTTAGCTGCCGCCGCTTCTCATGAAGGCGGCCAGAGTGAGGCTCACCAGGTAAATTTCAGCACCTAGATTCGGACTCAGACTCGGTGAGCTGCCCAGAGTCATCACAGTGATAAATCAGGGTCTAGTGAACGATTGTTGACTGCCGAAAAGGAATCAAAAAGAAGCAAAGAAAGACATGCGGACTTGTAGGATATTTCGCAGAATGCAAGACCTTTGGTGCTAATCGCAGCCCGAGGCAATGTTACCAACATGACGATCATACAGAACTACATTTGTAAATAAACATGAATCAAAGCCTAAAAAGGCTAGAAAGCAAGACATCTCAACAAAAGCCCTCGACCTCAACCCTCAGTACAACATTCATAGAAAGTAATTTCGGTATATCAAATTTGCCCGGATTCTGACAAGGATGCTTAGGCACAGGGGTAAAAGCATTAGAATACAGATCAGCTTTACAAGCTTCAACACTGTAAACAGCGCAGATACCGGCCTCTACTGTCCAAGACTGAGGTCTCTCGAGGGCACCGGCATCACATTTAGTGCTGAAGTTGCCGCCGTTTGTAAACCATTTGCAGGAGACACCCGTCTCTGTGTATTGGCTGCTTAGACCTCCATGCAGGTTCAGGCAGGTATTCGAGTAGCCCACATTGTATTCTTGGAGTACGTAGTAGTCGCCTGTGCAGCCCTTCATGGTGTACACTGTGAGTAACCATGGATTAACAGTCTTTGTTTTGCTGGTGCTGGTGCTAGTGCTCGTGTTTGTTAGGAATGATTTGGTCGACGTAGTCCTAGTGGTCGTGGTGTTTGACCTTGGGGTCTCTCTTCTAGGCAAAAATTTCTGAAGAGGTTGAGCTGCGCTAGTAGATGTGACTGTCATTGTACTGGGCTGGGTACTGGTGGGTATAGACAATGCCGTAGTAACATGGGCCGCAGAAGTGCAAAAGTCCGAAGTGGTTCCACAAAGAACCGAAAAAGAAGACTATTACTAGGCTAGATTTTGAGCTCAGAGAGAAAAGGTTTCAAGCTCTCAACTTACGCATTCATTTTCCAGACACGGATTCAAAGACCCCAGTTCAGACCAGATGTTGGGGCGCGGTGTTCCAGGCACCTGGTGGCTACAAACAGCATTTGGAAGTGTAACTGGCATTGGGGGTTCTCCAGTACTAAGGCAGATAAAGTCGCCCTGCGGTATCTGTCCGCATCCAATCCATGCCCAGCCTCGAGTGTTGTAGGTTTCAATATCAGCCGTGGTGATGGAGTGTGCTTGAGCAATCACAGAACATGTTTCGGCAGCCTGGACAACATCTTTGTAACAGATACCGTTACTATCTGCTTGAGGCACAATGGGAATAGCTGCACCTGATATTGCTGCCGGACCAATCAAAAGGATGCCGATGAGAGCAAAGAAGTTACCAAGGCGGAAGTATCCCATAATTGGTAGAACTGTATGAGAGCGCAGTCGGCTTTTCTTCTTCAATTTTTTTTTATAGGAAGAAGGGTCTACTTTTCTCTGTTCAAAAAGGGAAAATGCCCCAGACTGTCGATGATAGATACATGATTGAGTATGATATTGCCTAGGATGGGCAAGCACTCTATGAAAGAACTATGATGGTCTTCCAGGGTCATTAGCGTACTCCTGGAACAAATTTCAGAAAACTGTTGCATTCAAAGACTGACACTCTCGATGCTTTCTTTGTCTTCTCGCTGCTCACTGCATGACCTGCCCTGGTAGTTCCATGAAAACTTTGTCTACTCCATCGAGGGGAACGTTGGTCACCGAGCCACTTCTTTGTAAATGTGTAGGGTCAGATTCTTAGAAACATTAGCTGTGTTTGCACCGTACCCCTATTCACCTTTCTTGCAAACCAAGTACCAGGTTACTAATGTTACTCAGCCATGCATGGTTCGACTGCTCCTTTGGAGCAACTGTGCTAGAAATGAAGAAAAAGTTGGCAGGTACTTGCCAGAGCCACATTGGGCTAGACTTCACGGAGTCTGCAAGCATCGGAATTGAGCTCCCTTAAGACCCGATCAATCACAGTTCAAGTACTGTTGCTACCTGGACACTTGCGGAGGATCCATAGATCCACGTCAGTCTGCTTATGTAATGACCAGCGCAAGAGAGGGATGCTATACTCGAGCAAAAGGCGGCGATGGCTGAGCACTTGAATAGAAAGGGAAAGTTATGAAGAAGAGGGAATCAAGTAAATAGGGATATCTCTGAGAGTACATATCTCAAAAATTTCCTACTCCATACATACGTTGAATGTAGAAGTCAAATGTGAAGCCCAAAGTGTCGACGGGTATCTTTCCAAGGGGACTATGACAAATTGTTATCAGCCGATAAGCTCACCTCCGCTTTGTCTCCTCAGCCCTTTGATCACTTCATCTCCTTCCCAACACTTGGAGGAACTTTCATCAACCAGTTGCGGTGGGACAAGATGGCAAATACCGCCCTTATTCCTCTCCTGGTCACGATGATGCTCGTGACCGGGGTATGCAACACTATTCTTAACAAGTACCAGGTTCGTCCTCGATTCAGAGAGCTACAAAGAAACACGAATTAATTGTCGCTTATCGAACAGGACATGCAATGTGTGCGGAACTGCGAATCCCCAGACCCCAGTCAACGGAAGCTGTTCGAGCAGCCTGTTATTCAAACGTAGGATTCACCTCTTGATGATCATACAGCTTTGCAATACTAGCGATTTATGCTGACATCATGCGTTAATAAAAAGAGCTGTAATGTTTATGGGTGAAATGGGCTGTTGGCTAGTTGTCGGATTAACTTTCCTCTACCGCCAATTCATTGCACCACGCCTATCCAGTGGCCCTTCGCCCCTTCTGACCGGCGGATATCACCAGATTAATGGCGATGGCGAAGGCCTCGATCATGAAGATGACCACACAGCCGGGGAACTCGGCAGTGACAGCAGATACCCAAAGCCTCTGCCCGAAGATGACGGTCGTATCCCACTCTGCGGATGGAAGATCCTACTTCTTGCAGCGCCATCGAGCTGCGATATCGCCGGCACAACTCTCATGAACGTGGGTCTTCTCTTTGTGGCAGCGAGTATTTACCAAATGACCCGGGGAGCACTCGTTCTCTTTGTTGGCCTGTTCAGTGTCCTCTTCCTCCGCCGCAGGCTTCATCTATACCAGTGGAGCGCACTGTTCATTGTCGTTCTCGGTGTGGCTATTGTGGGTCTTTCTGGAGCTCTATTCAGTGGTGAGTCAGGCCACGAAATCACCCAGGATGGGAGTGCTTCCGATGTGGCCTCGCATGTGCTTATGCAGGCGCGTGATGTCGCTCGGACCCCCGAGGCTGTTCGGGCTATCATTGGTGTGCTGCTTATTGCTGCAGCGCAGATCTTCACGGCCACACAGTTTGTGCTAGAGGAGTGGATTCTGGAGAACTATGCCATGGAACCGATCCATGTCGTGGGTTGGGAAGGCGTGTTTGGCTTTTTGGTCACTGTCGCCGGCATGGCGATCATGTATCTTATTGTTGGACGGACCGATGCCGGCCGATATGGCTACTTTGATATTAAGCAGGGATTGCACGAAGTTCTCAATAACCGTGCTGTTGCCATATCCAGTGTGTTCATCATGATTAGTATCGGGTATGTCTTTGTCTTGCTTCTCAAGTCCCGTGTCCCGTCCTCGCATCTGACGTTTGTTTTAGTGGCTTCAACTTCTTTGGTCTGTCTGTCACGCGAAATGTCTCTGCTACATCTCGCAGCACAATCGACACCTGCCGCACGCTCTTTATCTGGCTTGTCTCGCTTGGACTCGGCTGGGAAACTTTCAAATGGCTCCAGGTTGCCGGCTTCGCGCTTCTTGTCTATGGAACTTTTATGTTCAATGACATCGTTCGCCCTCCGCTCAAGGCTTGTTTGCCCCGTGACCGGAGAGAGGGGGAGGTGCTGCTTCCCGAGGGCCCCATTGAACACATCTGATTAGCTTGGCTACTTGTTTTGGACTGTCTTTCCATCTCATAGACCATTCTGGCGTCTTGGTATCTTCCGGTCTTGCCTAGTTGATTGGGCTTACGCCTTGGATCTTGGATGAACTATACGACCTTGCATTTCTTTGTGCTCTGCAGTGGGGTTGAATTGTTTTCATCTTTTTGATTTAAAGCTGACTTTCGGTCTTTTCTTGCGGAGGCTGTAGGTGATCGGAATTCTCTTTTTAAAGGTATAGAGCCTTGCCTAATTAATTTCGGGTTGTGTTTTTGGATCTGTCACAACTGTTGCAACAATGCACTTTGACATCTACTAGTCATGTAGGAACCAAATAATGGTACAGCTCTAAGATGGGCCATTGATTACGTAGACTCATCAGAAGCAAGTACAATAAGAAAGATCCCTCCCCCCTAGTAGTTTAACGAAGTACAAGAGAAGGAAATTAATGACATAACAATAGTCTAGATAGTAGCCGCAAAGCGAGAAAGGCGCAGAGAACGGGGTGTATAAAACTGGATTTAACTGTTCATGGGAAAATTAAACGTTCGTTCGGATGAAATTTTTAGCATCTCTGCCACCGATTGGACCTATGGCTCGGACCAGTCCACTTGGTCGGTGGCGGGGGTTCCACCGCCGCGGGCGGAAGTAACACGAAGACGGAGACGAAGTTTGGCAGGAAGATTCTGGAGAAACTGGTGTTAGATTTGAGGCCTAAAAACAAGCAAAAGAGTAGAATTGGAAGGAGAAACTGGACATACCCCATTCAAAGCGGCCACGCGCATTGATTGTGTGCTCTCGTCGCCGGACTCCAGATCAGCCTTGCTGATTGCGCTCAGCTGCAACCGCTGGCTCTTTGGCACGGCAGCTTGCAAACCGACATTAGTAAATCGGTCGAAGTTGGAGTCGTTGCGGAAGCGGGCCAGTATCTGAGCATTTTTGCCGCTTCGCTGCACCTGCAAGGTAAGGACGAGACCGTCCTTGTTGAGCACGGTGTGTGCAGGGGTCGAAGCAGTGACAGGTGCGGGCGAGGTGGAGAGCGAAGGCGCAGAGGTACCCATGCCTCCTGTACCGAGCAGATCTATAGAGGCAGATGTGGGTTGTGTAGGCTGAGGGGATGGCGAAGGGCCGTTGGAGCCAAACAGGTCCATGATGGCGCTTTTCTGGCCTGCAGGCCCCGGCGAGGGAGATGACATGCCCGAGTCTCCACCAAGTATATCTGCCAGCAGATCGGCGGTGTTCGATCCGTTCGAGGCAGGGCTCGTAATAGGGGCATCGGATCCGCCAACCAGGTCAAGAAGTAGGTCATGCTCTGCCGGTTTGGCGACCTTTGTCGTCGACTTCCCACGGAGAAGCTTACTCTGACGTTTCTTAGTAGCGGGTGCAGCACCAAGCACTCGTTGTTCCTCGCGGATCTCAGGCGCCGGCATCCGCTCAAGCACGCCACGGCGGATTTGATCGTAGCCGAAAAGGTTGGTGTATTCAACGGCACGCTGTTGAATTTCTACACTCAGGTCCGCAGTTCGGCTGGAAAGTAAACGGCGTAGGCGTTCAATTTGAGCGGGATCCGACATGCGCACAGTAAGCTTCATGGATGCAGTGATGATATATTCGACAGCAATCTGGGAGGCGTAGGTGCTGTTGAGAATGTTGGTGAAGAGGTCAACAAGATCACTCTCCCGAACCTCCTTGACCAGTTCCTCTTCCTCGTATTGGCCACCCTGGAGAAGGCTATCGGCATATTCACCAATGGTCCATGTCGCAGCCAGTGTGAGACCCTCTTGTGAGATATCCTCCTTCAATGACGAGTAAAGCTTTTGTACCGCGTAGGTCTGCAGATCAGGAGTGGTCGCAATGAGACGGACAAATGAGGACAAAATCTGTTCTTTGACGTAGTTCCCAGCCAGCTTGAGAACCCGCAGAATGGTGTCCATGTGCCAGCGTTTATTAGGTGCGAACCGATCGGCCGCGATGCCTATCTGTGTCGTCATTACGGACTTGAATTCATTGTCGGCCACTTCCAGGAAGGCCAGCAGTTCCCGCACTAGCACACGCACATTATCCTCGTTGATCAACATGAAGCTGAGATCGAGCGCTCGCCTGCGAATGCTAATATCAGGATCCCGCAGGCATTCCAAGATCGTGTTGCGATGTCTCTGCACTGCATTTGGTTCAATTGCGACAACCTTATTCAGAGTGTTCAACGCAACATAGCGGATATTATTGTCCTTATTAGCCAGGAATTTACCGAGAATGTTGACGCCCAGCACCCGTAGGCCAGAGTCGGCTTCAATGTCCAAAATCGTCAGAACGGCCTCATACAGAATAGAGTTGCCGACGTTCTTTGAGGAATCCGTGTTGGTGGCCACCTGGGCAAGGATGTCGTTGATCAATTCGCTGGTGGCCACATCTCCCCGACCCAACACACGCAGGAACCGAAGGATCTTAACTTGAAGGAAAGGATCTGTGATACCGGACACATCATGCTCGGGGGCGTACCCAGAGGTTGTCAGCCCCTTCAAAGCGCGAACCAGGCCTCCGGCCAACGGCCGGAACATTTCGATCACGCCCACTGGTCCTCCTTCTTCCTCATCCTCTTCTTCCGCTTCACATAGATCAATCGCTAGCGTCAACCCACAGAGAAGAACACCATGATTTCGGTCC